CGAGCATTTATTTTCTTTATTAGGTAAATACTCATAACGAAAATAAATACAGAAATATTGCAACAATTATTTTGACATATCCAAACGTAGACCCAAATTCTCGATAAACGCTATTATGATAACGCTATAAATGCTATTACACACACACAGGCCTCACCAATCACAGAAAATATACTAATCTGTTTGAAAATATCATCATATCGGTAGTATCAGCAGTACTAGCAGGGGACGTATTATGCTATAGGACCAAAACTCATAAAAAAAAAAAAAGGTTTTGGTCTTATAGCGTCCATCTCCGACCCGTTACAGGCCAGTCGTGTGTTCGTCTATATTTTAGGGACTACACCATTATAAAGCAAATCCAAACAAAGAGAGCTAATTAACGTATTTATTTTCGTATCATGAGCGCGTTTAATCTTACTTAAAAACCGCTATTGACCTCCTAAGACACAGGAAACTACAATGGGAAACGCGCTAAACGCTCAATGCATATTAAAATGTACTAAATACAATTACATGTCTTAGGCCCAAGTAAGTACATACAGACAGTTTCGTATGCAAAATGTATTTTTTCAGTCATCCTCTGATCATTGATCGTATAGAATTAATAGAGCCGCTACGTTTGAATGCGATATTTTCATTATACGTGTTCATGCGATATTTTCATTATACTTGATCATAGGAATGGTCAGCCAAATTGTCTAAAGTCTGAATCACCATGTACATTTTGATGTACACGGGTCCTTAGGAGATTAAACTTAAGCCAAAACACGATTAGCTAGTCATTTTTGCTAGAACTATTTGATATTTTATACATTGTGGTTTTGATTTATGCCAATAGCAATCATTCTTCTACATGATCACATTTTGTGTGGTTGTAATTTGAGGCCAATGTACTAAAATAGACAACAAAGTCTTTGGTAGACATGTCGCAAAACTTCAGCGGTTAAATTTCTATGTTAGATGTACATACATACATATACTTCACGCCCTTTCCCCGTTGATATAGGTAGAGACAAGCCATTGTCTCCAATCATATACAAAAAAAGTATTTGAAATAAACAACATGTGACTTTTTTATATTATTCCATAGTAGGTGCAGTACTACTCAGAGTATGCTCGCTTTCTGATTGGTGGCACAAAAAGGTAAGGTGGCAGAACTTCCCTCTACGAACTCTTTCTGTTGCTACTGAATGAACCTTACATTTACTATTAGTACGGTGAAAGCTGATCATACCACACCTTATTCTATAAACAGCTAATATGAACTATTCGCTTTTGGATTATTATTATGGAATTTTATGGAATTTTTTCCTATAATTATTAGTACAAACATCGAACACTCAGAAAAAAATCTTCATAAAAATTTGTGAAATATATTTTTTGTTTACCATAATCGATGGAACACCGTATATCTCTAGGACGTGTGACGGGTTTAGACTAGAAATCCTGTAAACATCTATAATAATGTGCCAGAAAGCCACATCAATTGCTTGATCTCAAACTTCGGAATTCCCTGTACTATGAGCACCAGTGCAAAGGAATTCACTCTGGAGCACTCTCAGAACACCCAGACCATAGTTTAGTAGCGGTAGAGCTCCTTGTGAAAGAGTTCATCCAGGGAAGTAGTGCCGCCATTACCACGTTCCGGTTTTGAAGGGCAAGGGTGCTGCTGGTGAAATTACAGGCACATGGGACTTGTCAACTTATGTCTCAGAGTAACGGGTGTAATGGCAATGCCCCTCAGATCTTTGCGATTTAAAGCTTTGAGTGGCACTGCAACTGTTAAGGACAGGCGTGTCGCTTACCGGCCACAACTGTTATGGACAGGCGCATGACTTGTTCGTCTCGTCACTTGGTATTATAGAAAAAAAATACCACACGTACTGGGAATTGAACCGGAATCCGGTGACTAGAGTGCAAACCGTTGGGCCAATGAGATCGTCTTAAGAGCTTCAGACTTGAGAATAAGAGCTTTGACACACGATTTTGTTCTATAGAACAAAACATTCACACTTCCGCTAGTTTGTTTATTCCATGGTATATACGTTGTTGACAGCCCAGATTCATAAACCCTTAGATGACGTCATCAAGTCAAGAATGCCTTTTATTATTAATTAGTACCTAAATAACGAAACAGAGATCTCATTTCACTCAATTGTCGTAAAGACCTTAATGGTGTTCTTGTTAATTACAATTCCGGTTATCTGACAACAATGCAATTCCATTCAACACGAGAATCAATTAATTTCATTCAACGTCTTCGTTCTAAGGTTGCGATGATTCATTGTTGTTAAGAGCTCCGTTTATCCTGGAATTGGAGCAGGTAGGTGGGTATTTTATAGTGTAAAGAAGTTTCTATTAATGGTAAGAAAAAAAATGTGCAAATCGTATTCGTATTTAAACGCACAATATCCATAATAATAACTTTAAATTTAAATAATAAACAAGCTCATGAAGGGCCAAAGTTATGAGTATAAAATAATAATAATAATAGTTAGCCTATATCTAGGTTCGGCGGACTAAAACACAACGTCGTCTTAGAGTGAAAACCTCGTATGTGATTTCTATGTAATTTCTCAGGACGAAGTAAAAATGTGGTGTAAAATGTAGTAACGCAATAATGTTTGAAGTTAGCATTTTAATTAATTAAATTATACTTCTCTCTGATACTATATTACTTAAGCAAATAACTTTTTCTTCAACAAAAGTCAGTAAAAACTAACTATGTGAAACGAATGAGAGGTTTTCACTCAGTCAAATTAATTTATTTCATTAATTTTTAACTTAAAATAGTGGCATCTTTTTCAAATTTATCATTCTCTTCACATCTTCCAACATTATAAAAACACAAATATATATATATATATATATATTTTATTATAGGTGTATTAATAAATTAAGCAAGTTTTTTGGCTTAGGGTCGTATTCTAGAACTCTACTCAATGCTCAAGTCAGGATTTGAGCAGACTTGAGTATGATTTCAAGCACTGGAAATACGACCCTAATGGCAAGGACTTGAGTATGATTTTCAGTGCTCACTGCAATACTCAAGTCCTGACTTGAGTATTGAGTAGAGTTCTGGAATACGGCGTTTAGTCTCCCTGCTCAGCGCAGGTTAAAACAATTAAAAACGCCTTCATTCAATCAGTGGTCAATTAAAACAAATACTAAAAGTAAAAGCGCTATGAAGTCAATTTATAACATTATTGCAAATTAATGGGAAAGGTATAGCTATGTTTCAACCTTCATTTAACCAGCGTAAAAAAACTTTGGCATAACATCGTTAGACCTGTGACCAGCAGTAGTATGTTGACACCGTACAGTACAGTTTAATTTTGGTAGCAGTAGAGCTCTTTGTGAAAGTTTCTGCCGCCAAGCATTAATGGCAGCATACCTGTGTTCCGGTTTCGAAAGGGTAAGGATGCTGGTAACATTGTCAACTTATGTCTCAGGGTAACGGGCGCAGCGGCCGTACCCCTCATATCTTAGCGATTTAAACCTCTGACTAGCACGGTAATTGTTATGGACAGGCGTGTCGCTTACAACCAGGCGCACGACTTATTCGTCAAAAAAACAATTGGCATTTCATATCTCATATAATAACTCTAAACTTGTCAAAACTTAAATAGGTGTAGAGGCAATAACCGGATGCTTAACAAACTTACGACGCCGCACGCATGTATTATGAACTGCCCACATAGTTATTTATAACTGTTTTTTAAACTCGCATTAGCAGCAAGTGGAAATAAAACGTACCTATGCAATATATTAATGGGTGCTAGTTGAAAACTTGTTTTCTTGTAAACTTAGGCAGGTTTTATACGAATATTGATAAACTTCCTTATGCAACGTTTTTGCCTCAATTGAAAGCTCTTATAGATATATCAGTGTTGATAATCGCAACATGGGCAGCGAACAAATGTGAAATTTTCCAGAATTATTTAAATATTTTATGATAGAAATGTAAGATTTATGATATGTACCATGAGCTGTAAATAATTTACCATGCCGCATACTTCTATAGCAAATGTCTATAACATCTATTATTACCGTTTTCCTGTCTGTTTTTTAGGTTTGAATACCAAATAATCATATTGATTTTATTGAATGTCACGATGTTTTACTATGATGAAATTCAATTATTTTTGTGAAATTACTTGCATGAAGTTGATTTCGACTTTATGCAGTTAATGCGTGAAGTCGACTTCAACGATATCAACTTCATGCAGTCGAGGTCTCGGATAACGACTTCACGCATGATGTCGAGGTCGTTTGCCCCTTATTGCTTTTCATAGAGAAGTATCAACAACGTAATGACTAAATTCAATGATTTATATACATTGAACATTTCATATTGAATCAATATAAGACCTACGGCATGAAAAGCATTGACATTTTTGTATGCATATGACGCGAGGATTACGAAATTATTGATACGATTAGTCGTGTCGGTCATTTGTATCAACTATGTAATGATGTGTTCAAATTGGTGACATTATCGTGTATATAGATTTTAAGACTTTCGTGGTTGTTCACTAAATGATTATCACTCATATCTATATCAGGTTTCTTACCACGGTATGACTTCTTTTTATTTTCGGAACGGTTGCCAGCTTCATAGTCACGGGTTGGGTCAACCCGTGACCATGAAGCGTGCAACCGTTCCGAAATATCGGGAAAATAAAAAGAAGTCATACCGTTGTAAGAAACCTGATATTAGTGATAATTATCGTGTATAATGCAGGGTTTTTGTTGGATATGTATAACCACCTAAAACTCGGCATTCATGAGCGATCTTCGCCATATTGGTCGTGTTAAGTCAACATGTCCGCAATGTTAGCCTACATTTTACGTCAACAGTATTGAATCATATGTGAGCTAACCCCTAAACAAAGACACAAGAGAATATTTTCCGAGATTGCCGTCAGTTTGAGAAGTGTTGTAGTAAAATAAATTACAATTTTAGTGTAAATTAATGTATGCTTCATTTTATACAGATGGCGCTCCGGTAATGACGATGCGTGTGCGCGTGGTGGCGCTGGTGTGCGCGCTGGTGGTCGCGCATGCCGCCGCCTACACCGTAGACTGCAACCACGAGTACACAGACTGCGACACAGAACTCAGTGAGTGAAATTTCACTAATGAAAAAGCTCCTTTTATGACGAGTAAAGGTTGCGCACAGTAAGCCGCACGGACTTACCCCACGCATACTTTAAAACCTTTTGCACTCCCTAAACGCATGCGCAATGTGGGCGACGTTCTTTGGGATCCAATCCAAGATCCTGAGCTTCAAACACACTTAGGAGACTAGGGACCACTTCTAGAAAAGTTTCTATAAGAAATTCTGTGACATGGATTGGCTCCTGAACTTACATTTGAAAAGCAATGGTCGTTTTATTTATTTTTATTTATTCCATTTAGAAAACACTACACATTAAATAAATATTATGTTCAGTATTTATTTAATGTGTAGTGTAATATCGTGTAATATCTTAAAACTAAATGCATATGGAACATCACAGCATGCAATGACAACAACATAGTGAATAAAGACATTAGTGATATAATATATTGTTATTTGAAACTACGCAAACATATAAATATTACCAACCCACATGTAACATTTTTTAGTTTTCTAACATTTATTGATATCTTTTACTGTAAAAACGGTAAAGTTTATTGTGGCAGTGCTATTTTATATGTATACCTACAGCTTTTTTCGTGCAAAAATATAGTTCCCGGTGTCATATCGGAGACTATTAATAAATATCACTTTTCGGGAGGACAGTAATTATCTCATGATGTTTGTTGTTTCTATGGACAATTGACTGGTTTTTATTTTAAAATGAGTGTGAAAGCCATGGCGGTCACAACGTAGTGAATACTCAATCAGCACAGTTACAAAATTTCATCCATTTCGTTAAACTCAATACTGACAAATTGTTTCCCTATCTGGGGTCGACAAAGTTGCCACAAGGAGGAGAAAAAAGCGTTTAAAGCCTAACGCTTATCAAAGAAATTGTATGCTTTTTTTTCAAATTTACATTTTGTGAACATTACCTTTATGGCTATTGGCGGTACTTAAATACGTACAAATGTTAAACCCACTGTGATGTTAGATACTGAGATCATCACTTCCGATATGTGAGCTAACTGCGAAAGTATTAATTGAAATAAATCGTTCTTCAACAAAAAGATAACAGTAACCGCATGTAAATGAGACCGATAATGTCAAAACCTGTCAAATGCCACATTCCTGCAGCTTGTCTGTTCGAATACTCATTACACGAGCGAATTAAAATACCGCTAGCACATAGCTACGTCATATAAACCAAAGAAGTTTGTAAGTAGTCGGTTTATATTTATAACATTGATGGATTGGTATTGTAAAGTCACTATGAGATTATCTCTGTCAGTTGTTTACTCTAGGGTGCGTGTGTTTGACATAGAACAGAAAAGTACAGAACTTCTCTACCAGCGAGATGTGTGTATATTTTGTGCCTACAAGTATGAAAAGCACAGAATAAAGACTAGAAATTTTTATTGAAATATGTCTACCATATTATTTTTTTTTATGATATCAAGTGACAGTATGAACAAATCGTGCGGGTGGTGTTAAGCCACACGCCTGTCCATAGCACTTTAACTGTGTCCGTGGCCGAACGGTTACCGTGCTGGATTGCCACGCAGAGGTCTCGGGTTCCCGGGCCCGGAGAAATATTTGTATGGCCTACATGTATTTCTCTCGTGAGTTTGGGTGTCAGTTGTGATTGTCTATGTTGTGTCCATGGCACCCGGGATTCAGGACTTCTCTAGTGCGGGGCTATGAGTGTGCTAAAACTAAATTTTAGTGCCAATTAGAGCTTTAAATCGCAAAGATCTGAGGGACACTGCCACCGCGCCTGTCGCCCTGAGACATAAGTTGACAAGTCCCTTGTGCCTCTAATTTCACCAGCACCCTTACTCTTCAAAATCGTAACGCAGTAATGCTCATGTTACTGCTTGGTGGCAGAAACAGGTAATATCATATATAACTGCCTTAAAGGATATTTAAATATTGATTCTTTATTTGCATTCCTCAATGATGTACACATAGAAGGCAAACAATAAAGTAGAAGGCAAGAGTTTAAGAGTAGTTTTTAGTATTCGCGATCAAAAATGTAAATAAAGGTGCCGTAACAAAAAAAATAAGAATTGTGCAAATGATATAAGTCCGTCGAGAAAGGTTTCATTAATCATGTTTTTGTTTTGCCATTAAGTTGAGTAAACCCTCAAGCAAACGTTACATTTTGCCGTTACTACTAAAGATCAAGTTGTTTTAGATACAAAATAAAACATATGAAATAAGAGAATTTTTAAGAGTGTCAATTGCTACATTTAATTGTCGGACCTGCGTTCACATTGACTGCAGCCGACGCATGCAGTTGAACTCTCGACTGCACTTACTAACTGCAGACTTGCAGTTCATCTATTGGCAGCTTAAGATGACGTTCGCAACTGAAAATTCATTGATTTGTACAAAATTGCCTGATGCTAGTTACGACACAAGAGAGAGAGACAATATTTTTATGTAAGCCACCACATTTGCATTAAAACCGCAAATTTATATACATCGTGAGTTTATACAACCGTCATTTTCTACTACACTCATGGTGTTTAATCACATTTGTAACGGAGAGTTATCTAACACAGAATCTACTATGCTTTCATGATACAGTGGCTGTGACATAGTTCAATGAACTCCAAAATATGAGTGATGGAAACAAGGAGATAACAAAAAGAGTTGTAGATAATTTAAATTGTTTTTCTTGTATTAATTGTCTTAGAAATATGATTAATTTGTATTTTAAAAAAGACTGAAGAATGTAATGAAACGGTTGAACGGTATTTGTTTAAGACTTTTTTTACTGTTTTGTATCTTTCGACAGTACAGTTAACGAATTGTGATAATATATATATAATACTAATTCAATTTTAATACAAATTTATTATATTTATTTATGATCAGCTTACAAAGGCTCAAAAATACATACTTTATAGACTAACATACATAATAATGTTATAATAAAACACTATTTATTTATCGAGTTCTTAGGTTTTCGCGATTGTTACACATAGGAAATGAAACTATTTTTCCGAATTTAAATCGCGTATATTTGTTTTTTCAAACAAACCGACGTTTCGAGCCCTTTACAGGTCCCATGGTCTTTTGCGCGCGCACGTTTGTTCTTGAGGTCTTCGAACCGCCGGATTTTACTTGCAACATCCAGTCCGTACTGGTGTACATATCGAGTTCTTAGGTTTTCGCGATTGTTACACATAGGAAATGAGACTATTTTTCCGGATTTAAATCGCGTATATTTGTTTTTTCAAACAAACCGACGTTTCGGGCCCTTTACAGGTCCCATGGTCCGAGTCATGTGAAGGGCCCGAAACGTTGGTTTGTTTGAAAAAACAAATATAGGCGATTTAAATCCGGAAAAATAGTACTATTTATTTATTTACACGTAGGTATGGACTGCGACGTGTGACGCAACGTGGGTGGTCGGGAACCGTCCTCGGAAATGTCGGTATATGACACCCTTCGGGCAAAAGTCCTCCTTCATGAAGGTCGTCAGATGTTGTGTCAGGGTAGCATTAGCTTTCACCAGTATGTACTCCAAATATCAGCAGACTTTGTGGAGTAATGAAGTCGTGACATGTATAGCAACGTCGTCGGTGTTGCTGGACGCAGTTGATGATTGGGCCAGTCGGGGCGGTGCTACTATGGTTACGGCTGGTGTACTTCTTTTTCTTTTCCACCTTTTTGAAACCGTCCTCGTCGCACTGGTCTACTCGTCTCGGTGGTACTGACGACACAGCTCCAGATATGAGTTTCAGATTCTTCTTCTTTTCCTTAGTTGATTTTAATTTATTTATTATTAAACTACAACTACATTAATAAGGAAACTTTTTCGTTTTCAAAGTCTTCTTAAAACATTTTATAACACAACGAGATATGCTGTGTGTGCAGGCGCGTTCCCACTATATCGTGACGACAGATAGTCGTGCAGTTTAAAGTGTTGTGGCTTGTATATTTAAGTTAAATTGTTCACATATCGAACAACACGATTAACTGTCGTTCACGACTTTTTTGACGTTAGGACGACGGACTGTTGTGACAATGGGAAGAGCTAGAACGACTGCCGTCAGACGATAAATAAAAAATGTCACGATAAAAATGTGACGACAGATAATTGCAGCTTCAAACGATTCTGTCGTGCATAGGACAAGGTGGCTGCCGTAAACCGATATATTATCATCACGATCTAGTGGGAACAGGTAGACACGACAGTCGTTCAACGACAAAATAGATATCTACGACACAGTCGCGACAGTTAGTCATGATATGGAAACAGGCTAGACGCGACAGTTTAATGATAAATAAAATGTTACGACATGACGGGAACGCACCCTGACTCCGTATAGTATCAACTAATATACGTCTCACTGCTGACCACAGGTCTCCACTAAAAATCATTAAAGGTAGAAGCGATTAAGTAGAAAGAAAATACTTCACAAATCTTCGCAGTTACTTTCTTTTCTTATGCGCAGTGAACAAGTTACTCAGCCTTTGCTTTTTGTACCGTTGCTATCATAAGTGGCATATAGTTGAACTCAAAACTCAAGTGTAAAGCTGCGCGTACTGTTCACTGCACTTTTGTAACATTTACAAGCTCAAAGGGAAATAATTGAACATCGTTTAAAATTAAAATTAACGGAAACACGTGAACGTCATTAAAACATCATGCCCTAAATTTTCACTCGAAAAAGTCATTTACAAGAACGGATGAAACAAAAGAATGAGTTGACAAATGGTTTCGTTGGTTCGCTTCTCGACACAATCGTGAGAAGCGATTGCTAAACCAAGATGCCGTTGAAACTAAAGCGTGATTCTTAAATCTATTGAAGTGTAGAGTAATGAAAGGTTCTAAAATGTTCTGTATTGGTTTAGTTTACTCGTATAAAATAAGTATTTATTTGTTTATTTATATACTATTATTTACATATATATTTCCAAATTTCTCCACAATACATAAGAAACACATACATACTTAAAAACTAATAGAAAATAAAATAAACT